GGTTTAATTGCATGAAAAATTAGGGATTGATTTTTAACCCCTAAACGAAAAATTTTTCATTAAATTAATTGACATATAGATGTTAGGCGCATTTGCATTAATAGAATTTAGTGAAAACATATTTTCCTCTTATTTTATTTCATTTTAATTTAGTGTTAAAAAATCATTATAAAAATTTATTTAAAACAAAAAGAAGAAAAGAGAAAAAAAAGGAAAAAAAAGAAAGTAAGAAGGGAGCTCTTCCCCATGGACAGAGGCTCTGCCTCTTTGACTTACGAAAAAGAAGAAAAGGGGAAAGAGGACGAAAAAGAGGGGTTCCGCACAAACCGAAAAAAGAACGAAGGAAGGAAGAAGGAAAAGACAAAAAGGAAAAGACAAAGAGGGAGAGCTCTTCCATGGACTGAGGGGCCCACCTTTCTTGCTATCTCTCCGGTCTCCGTCGACATTCACACGAAAAAGGAAAACCTACAATCTGTACATGCAGAGGGGAAGTTAAGAGAGAGTTTGACCAGAGAGAAGGAGGAGAAGAACAGAGAGCTTAAAGAGAGCGAAAAAAAACGGAGAGAGCGGGAGAAAGACCCGAGAGAGAAAATTCCGGAGAGGGAAAGAGAGTGACGAGCTTGCTCGGCCGCGCTTGAGCGTCGTTCGACGTCTCCGGCCGCGCCGCTCGAGCCCGCGGCCCCCTTTCCTCGCCCAAGTTGGGTTTCGTTTTTTTTTTTTTTTTTTTTTTTTTGTGTTCGTTACGAGTTTTAAGCTGATTTCCCGAGGATTCCGGCTTGGGGGTATGCGAGGCGACCGGACGTAGTCCGATCCATCAAGTTCGCCGTCGTTCGCCGCCCCCAAGCTCGATAGGGACCGCCGCAACGGCACCTCCCCCTCCCCTGTTTCTGCTTGTTTCTGCTTCTATCCATTTGGCTTGCTGGCCGGAGCTCGCGGCCGTCCGGCTCGCGCGAGTTCCGGCCCGTGAGGCCTCGTGCTTGCTCCCGCTGTTTTGTGTGTCTTGTGTTGACGATTTTGGTCCGTTTCGAGCCTCGATCGAGTCCGAAATTTCCCGTTTTCGTCGCGCGCTCCAGCTGTTTGATGTTTTGCCTGAGTGAGATCTGTGCGTTGTTTTCCTCTGTACGTGATGCATTCCCGAACTAGGGCAGGAGATCAGTCCGCCTCCTTGCAGTCAACCGAGCTGGCTTGTCGTCGGCGAACGATGAAGGTCCGCAAAAGGGGGGCGACGCACGAGCAGGGAGCTCGTTTTGGCCAGTCCCTCGTCGGGGCTCAGCCGATTCGTGGCCGGCCATCCCCTCGTCGGGGCTCGGTCGGTTCGGTTTCAGTCACCGGTCGCCGCGGTGGCGACGCGGAAGGAAGCGGCTCGTGGCGGCGGTCCGGACAGCCATCGCGGGCGAAGAACTTTCGCCACTCCTCGTCGGGGTGGCGATGCGCACGGGCGGCAGCCGGAAAGGGCCCTGCCGTGAGGCCGAGCGTGCGCTCCCCGTCGGAGCGGCGGTCGGCGAGGGCAAAGCGGCGGCCGGCGTTCGCGCCGCAGGGCTGGCGCGAGTGGGTGGCACGTGCTAAGGCAGCCCCGAGCCGGGTCAGGCGAGTCGGGCGCATCGGGTAGGGTTTCCGGTGAGTCGGGTCGCGGGTCTGACCAGATTGGACTTCCTTTAGTGCGTGGGCTTTAGGGTTTATTAGAATAGCCTTTTTTAGGGTCTTGGGCCATTTTTTGCGGATGGGCCGAATGGTTAATTTGGGCTGAAGGTTTATTTATGTTTTATTCCTTATGGGCTGGGCTTTGATTTTCTTTTTTATTTGAATTTTGATTTATTCCGAATTGGGCCCTCGCGGAGCCCACTTCGCGGTGGACCCGGGCCGGCGCGCCCGGGTCAGCTCTGACCCGGGTCGGATGTGGAGATCCGACCCGGATCAGATCGATATTATTTTAATATTATATTATTATTTTAATATTAAAAAAATGTTATTTTATTATTAAAAAAATAAAAAAATAAAAAAATTTCAAAAAATAAAAAATTGGAAATTGGGGTTTAAAATTGTTTTTCTCTCCCTTTTTGTGTGATTGGCTTATGTTTGATTGCATCTCGTTTGATTTGCACGTTTTGAATTGCGCTTTTAATTTAATGGTCGATTATGGCTGTCAATGTGTCGATTGTTGCTTCCCTTAACTTGATTAGGAGGATAATTTTGAGACTCACGATTAGTGTGAACACGTTAGGTGAGTAATTGAACAAGGTTAGGTACCGAAAGGGCATTAATTTGTCAATTAGTGTAAACAAGTTTCCGTACCCATTGAATATCTGGTTCGTAGAAGTAAAGCATTTCTTCCGTGCTTTACTTGAGTGTCTAATCGACCCACCAAAAATCGATTAGTGGCGACTCCTAGATGAAATTGATTTGCATGTTAACAACTTAAACTCAAGTCGCGAATTGGTATGGGCTTGGGAGAGCTCGAGCTAGGTTTAATTTAGTAATCCATTAGCCAAACTCCTTAGGTGGCGGGGCCGGTTCGGGGAGGTCGCGACATTCGTACAACTCCATTTTTTTTTGACCATGCTAGCCAACTTTAAAATTTTTTCATTTGTTCGGTAATATTTTGAAATTTGGTTAAAATACATCTGTGTTGCTAATTTGACTTCCATAATATCTATAATTGGTGAAAATGTTTTCGTAAGTATCTTACGAAAGAATTGAGTTTTACAAAAGCTGACAACTTCTTGTTAATTTCATTTTCTTTTTGAAAAAGGAAAATATTGTCTAACTTTTGAGAATACTCTGTCAAGATTCTTTTTAAAATTTGCTCCATTTTAAGGTTCCAGTTGCCAATTCCCACTGAATGGCAATTTGTGGTCAATAAGACACCGCCAATCACAGGGAACAACGGTGCCGTTACAATAGCAACGTTCTTTTAATATCACTTTACCTATCCAAGTGGATTTTTTTTTCATTTTCCATACACACAACAAGTAATTAGGCTTATAAGAAAAGAGAACATGCATAATCAATTTATAATATTACCTCTGCCTCTTACCAATAAAGAAAAGGTTACCCGCATGGCCATAACTCCGGTTCTACGATATTTTGACTGTTTTACTACTTTATTTTCCCATATCGTTTGTCCGTGAAATTTATATGTTTTTTTTATATATGTGATCTCCTACACCTAAAAGCCCAAATTTATCTTGCGTGTGCAACCCTCGTTTGTCAAATTGCTAGGGTCGTTGCTAATTCCACTTGCTGTTGAGAGCGGGTGTCAAAATATATATACATGTACTCTACTCTACCGATAAGCCCAAGTTTATCTTATGTGTGTAGCCCTCCATTTGTGAAATTACCAAGGTCGTTCCTAATTCGGCTTGCAGGTGAGAGTGGGAGTCAAATTATATATATATATATATATACACACACGATGTAGTTTCCTCCACCTGTAGATTTTGGGTTGGACATTTTGACACTGCTCATGTTTTCGAAACAAAGCAAGATATAAAGTCATGCAATTGTTCTCAATTTTCTTTCCTTTTGGCTGGCACAACGATCATTTTATTTAACACATTGCTCCTTCAACTTTCTTGTTTCTTGTTAATCCTAATCCCATTTTCTCTTTGTTAAGTGTAGGATTATGATTATCCCACTAAACTGTATCCTAAAGTTTAATGGATGATCATTCGTACAACGTTCTTCACTTGGCGTATGATTAAAACACGTAGTAATATATTGCCCTTTTTTAAACTGGTGTTTATGTGCTTGACCTATCTGTGTTGCTCAAGTGGGCTCTCCCAATGAGCCTATTTTACAACTTTGTGATTCTCTCATGTTAACAGTGGTTATTAAAAGAAAAATAAAGCCCATTAATCCAGGTTGATTCTTCTGTGGGTGAATTGCCCTTTGTGGTTGATGTTTATCTTTTTTTTTATTTTATAAATTTGATTTTGTGGTTCTAGAAATCTTCCTTTGAAACTGGGATGTTGGGTTCTATAAGTCCATTTTGATTATATGTCTTGCTTGTCAGCCACACTTACTCCTGTTAATTGGTACTCTCTCAAGAGCCCAAATTGCAAGAGCATATGCTCAGCTTTTGGCTTCTATTACTTATGATAAGTATAATATATAGAGATATGTTGACACCTAAATTTTGGCTAACCATTTATGAATTAATTGCATAGAAAATTAGAGATTAATCTTTATCTCATAAACAAAAAATAATATAATTGCATAGCATTTAGTTTTAAGAGTATTTATTAAATAGTTGCATTTGCATCGGACCGGTGGTGGAATGGCATGAATGATGCTCTAAGCTTAATCTAAGAATGGATTCACAAGTGCACAAAATTTGGCCAAGCCTATTGAAGACTATATAGACGAAATTTTAATTATGTATGCCAAGTTAACAAATCGGTCTTCAAATTGTTACTGAAATTTGATCACACTGATTTGCATATGTATTTGAGGAAGTGACTACAGAGAAAGAGGGCCAAATTGATTTTTGTGGATTGCCTGCAAAAATTTGGTCAAGAAACAATTGGAAAGTAGAGCGTTATCGGAGCAAGAATTGAGGAAAGAGGATTCACTCGAGCTGGTGGCTACAAACTTGCGGACAAAAGGGATTAAAGAAAGGAAAAAAAGGATTGGTCAGAAGACGTGGGTTCTTGAGAAATAACAAAAGAAGGAAAAGAATAAAAAATATATATTTCAATGCATCCGCAATTGAAAGCCGCATCGCGTTCTTTCCTCGAGGGCCCAATGTTGTTTTCATATAAAAAAGAATCATTACAAGACGAGGAGTGCCGACACAACATTGAATACATGGCCACATTGGGGGCCAGCCAATTCCATACACGGCCACATTGAGAGGCGACATATTGAAATACACGGCCATAGAGAGAGGGACGGCTAGAACACGGGAGAGAAGAGGTTTCGTCTTCAAGCCTGGCCACCTTCAACGGCCGTGCCCAAGTTCTCGTACCAGCAACGCCACTGCTGCAACCACACTTGGGACGTCATTCAGCCACCGAAGACGCCGCCTGCTTGCGTTGTTCCTGTCTTAGCTTGCGCCCGTCGACGTCGTTGGTCTGTCCCACGATGGCCCACTGCTCCACCTCATGACGGTCAGGCCCAACGACGTATGTGCTGCACTGAGCTTCGCCCGTTGTCGACGATGACTGCGGTTGCTTCTTCGATCCATCACTATCGTTGCTGCACGACAACCTGCAGAGACACAATCTGGACGACTCCAATAACTCTTGCGCACGTCCAAGCCATCTAGTTCGTTCCAAGCAGCACCGGCGAGCCTCTCTGCAGTGTTCCAGCTCCGATGAAATCCCAACGCACTCGCACCAGCAATGAGCTTGATTAGCCACCGAGAGCTCGACGGCCACCGAGCCTAGTCCCTCACAGTGGCGAAACACCAGCAAGCCCGCGACCCGCTTCTCTCTGTTTGGCAGGTTTGCTGTGAAACCACCGTCGAGTCCGCCATCATCCGCTGGTCCCGTTTTGGAAGCGAATCATCCGAACTAGGTAATTTTCTTCAGCCAAATTTGGTCTCAATATTTTATTACCTAAATTGGATTATTTGATGTTAATGTAATTTTGAGTGGTTTGGGCATTATCCGACTAGGATTTTATTGTGTATGAAATGAAATCGAATTACTAATTTGGGCCGTGAGACGACGGGTCATATTTTTAATTATGTTTGATTTTATTAGGGATAATGACACAAACAGTCCCTGAACTTTGTCCCAATGTACAATTTGGTTCCTAAACTTTTAATTTGTTCAATATAGTCCCTGAACTTTAACTTAATGTTCAATTTGGTCTCTGAACTTTTAATCTATTCAATATGATCCCTGGACTTTTGGTACATGTTCAATTTAATCTCTAAATTATATGAAAATGTTCAATGTAGTCCCTGAACTTGAAGGACTACATTGAACATTTTTATGTAGTTCAGGGATTAAATTGAATATGTACTAAAAGTACAGGGATCACATTGAACAGATTAAAAGTTCAGGGACCAAATTGAATATTAAGCTAAAGTTTATGGACTAAATTGAACAAATTAAATGTTCAGGGATCAAATTGTACATTTGGTCAAAGTCCAGGGACTGTTTGTATCATTTTCCCATTTTATTATCAAGTCGGGTAGGTGCTTCATTAAGATTGTGTTATCGTTAATTTGAGACGCGAGACGACGAATTATTTTTTTCGGATATCGTAATCTTTTATTTGAATCTTGGTGGATATCTTGGGCGATTCAATGTTATCTCTTCCTATTTTTGTGGATTGGAATTGATTTGTTTCCCGTTTAAAAAAAATACAAAAAATATCACCTGAAATAGGTTAGATTCCTTTTCTGAGAAAGTATCGCATGTTTAAGTTAGAATAATCATTTATTCGGAATTTAATAAATAAAAAACACAAAAATATATCCCATGCATCTCATATAGTTTGCATGTTAGGAAATTGCATGTCATGTAGATTAGACTTTATTTCAAAATAAAAGAAAATCCCAAAAAATGCTTTGATTGCTCTAGTGTGTTTCGTGTCTTTGTTTTCTTGTAATTCATTTGCTTTATTTATTGATTGTTATTTTTTTAAATGGTTGCAGACCCACATGATCACTCTCTGCATGTTAGTGTTTAAGTTAAAATCAATCCAAACTGCTTGCTAATTTTTTTTTTAAATTAAAAGAGAAAATGTACCGAAAGGGCATTAAAATAATTTAGTGTAACCAAGTCCTCGAATCTACAATCTCTAGTTAGTAAAAGTAAAGTAATCGTTCCATTACTTTGCTTGGATTTCTAATCGACCCACCATAAATCGATTAGTGGTGACTCTTGGATATAAATAATATGCATGTTTAAGAACTTAAACCTTAAGTCGCGAATTGGTATGTGCTTAGGAGAGCCCGAGCTAGATTTAGTCTTAGTAATCTATTAGTTAAACCTTAGGTGGTGCACCTTTGGGAAGGTCGTGACAAGATAGAACTGTAGATTCTTTCTGCCTTTATATCACATTACATGTCATGCATAATATATTCAATTGTCCTCGTAGAGACTTCTACCCATGGATCATCCATCACACCGTCATTAGAGAATCTTCGTTCCATTATTCGAGAATTTGGTACCTTTAGCTCTTCTGTTCCTAGCACTTCTGCTATGTCTGCCACTCGAAGTATTTCTGATTCATGGTTTTTTAATTCTGTTTGTTGCAATCACATGACATCCAACTCTACTTTATTTCAGTCTAAATCTTTCACTTCACGTGCACCTCTTATTCATATAGCCGATAACTCATAGAGGACAATTAGTCATACATGAAGCACTCTACATCTACATTATCTTTACCTAACACCTTTTTGGTTCCTAAACTCTCGCTAAACTTAATATCTATCGGACAATTGTGTGAACTTGATTTTGATATTCAGTTCTCTTCTCATGGTTGTCATGTGCAGGATCCTTAGATGGGACAGAAACTTGGGACGGGCCATAAAGTGGGGCGCCTCTTTGTGCTTGTTTCACTAAGATTCCGACCTCTTTTGATGGTTGTGCTGCTACAATGTCATCTGAAACTTGGCATTCTCGGTTATGTCATGTTTCTTTCTCTAGGTTAAGTGCCTTGATTTCAAGTGGTAATTTAGGTTTTGTTGACACTAGACATTTTGATTGTCTGCCTTTTAAGTTGGGAAAACATCATACTTTACTATTTTAGACTAGTGAATCACGTATTTCATGCTCCTTTTGATCTCATTCACTTTGACATTTGGGGACCATCTCCCACCCCCATCATGGGAATTCTTTTTCGAAATGGTACTATCATTCATCGTACTTGTCCCGACACTTCCCAGCAAAATGGTAGAGTAGAACGTAAACATAAGCATATTTTAGATGTTTTACGTACTCTTCTCGTCTCTACCTCTTGTCCTGACTAGTTTTGGGGGTAAGCTTGTTACATTGCGGTTTACACTATTAACCATACCTCATCACCCATTATAGGTAACATTTCTTCTTATGAGTGTTTGTATGGTAGTATCCCAAATTATAGTCTTCCTCTCCTTTGGTAGTGCTTGTTCTGTGAACCTTCTTTTGCATGAACGCATGAAATTAGAACCTCGTGCCCATTTATGTTGCTTTCTTGAGTATGGCATTGAGCATAAAGGGTATAGATGTTGAGATTCCGTTTCCAATCACCTTCGTGTGTCCCGTCATGTTACCTTTTGGGAACACAAGATTTTCTCTTCTGTTCGTCCCTTCGAAACCTCTGCTCATGTTCCCTTTTTTACCAATCCTTTAGTGGACTTGCTTCTAGAAGATACCACACTTCCATCCATCTCTGACACTTCTCTTCCAAAATTGTCTTCTCCTCGTCTTGATGCAGGGTCCCTGGCTACTAACATCTTGGTGGAACTGTGATGACGGACTCGCCAATCTTGAACCTTTTGGATCACATGTGGTGCGAATTATTTATGGCTCAAACCAAAGATTCCATAGCGGATACAAAACCATCATGTTAACAATTAGAGGGGGTCGCTAACATTGATTGTCCCTCCCTGTTCGATGTAGTACCCTAAAAAACCCACAACTTTAACTCCAATCCAAATTCTATCTTAAACTTTTTTATGTTTCATAAAAACCCAAACTTTAGGTCTTATTCCAATTCTACCATAAAAAAATTTTGTCTCATAAAAAACCCTCAACTTTAGGTCCAATCTCAATTCTACCATAAACTTTTTCTTTCTCATAAAAAACCACAAACTTTTACTTGAGTCTCATAACTACCCTCGTTAACCCTTTGACCAAAATTGCCCTTAGTGATCCTAAGTGGCATTTCAATGTCATTACTCTAGTTTTTCTCCAAATTTTAGATCCAAGAAGACGCCTTTTAGAGTTGAATTTTCCTGTCAGTCCAAACGACATCTTCTTGGATTTGAAATTAGAGTAAAACTAGAGCAATTAGGGTTACCTTTCTTCAATTGTTTTTTACTCTTAAGAGAGTCTTTCTTCCATCTTGTTTGGGGATCTTCGATTTTGCGATCAGTCTTCAATCTCTTGTGCTTGGGAATCTTCCATCTCTCGCATTTGGAGAGCTTGCGCTCGGGACACTCGGCATGAGACTCTGGACAACTTGCATTTGGAAGTTTTCCACATCTTGGTTGCCGATGAGAAATTTTGGATGGAGGGTTAATGAGGACAGATTTGGGACTCAAGTAAAAGTTGATTTTCTTATGAGACAAAAAAAGTTTAGACTACAATTGGGATTGGACCTAGAGTTGGGAGTTTATACAATGATTTAAAAGATTTGATTAAGTAATAAAAACACTTGATGGGATTAAGTAACGAAAGGGTTACTAATTAGTTCATTAAGTAGTAAGAATAATTGATGGTAAGTAGAATCTCACTATTTATATTGATAAAACGTACAAATAATTTGATCACAATTCCGTGTACGATAAGAAATTAATAATGCTAAGTTAATGTCAAACAACTTTTTATTTCTGTTTCAGCATTTAGAACTGTCAAACACTTAAGATTCAGTGCCTAAATTTTCAGCAATTACTTTTCAGTTTTATCAAACGAGTCCAAAGAGAAGTATGTTCAACACCATAGATTGTTCAAAATTAAAATTCATGTACTCACTCAACTTGGAGGAAGCAAGGATTCAAAGAGAGAACTTATGGAGGAAGGTCTCTTATTTGTATCACACACCTCAAGGGCTCAATTACATAGACATAGTGCGGGGCTAATTGCTCCAGCATGAAATCTGACTTTAGACGATTGGGAAAACAAATCAAAGCTGAGTTCCAATTCGACCACAAAGTAATCAAATTATCAAAATATTTGTTCTCGAAAGTGTTTTCGTGAAAACGGGTAAAGGCTTTTTGTTGGTGGTTTGGAATTAAGTAAAAGTAAACTCACCAAAATTTAAAATGTTATTCAAATTTAGACCCGGTAAAAATGGACCCGAATCTGACAACCTGCTCAAACCTGCCAGCCTAATTCCCTAAAAAACTCCAAACTTTAGGTTAAGTTCCAAATCAGTCCCGAACTTTGTTTTGTCTCAGAAAAAACTTCAAACTTTAGGTCCAGTCCCAAATCTGCCCCAAACTTCTTTTTGGGCAAAAGAACACTACAAGTGCCATAACTTGTGTACGGCGCTCACTTTGGTGCTATAAGTTTTTTTTGGATCACTTTAGTGCTAAAATTTTTGAAAAACGATCACTTAAGTGCCAACTCCGGTGCTGTACACAATTTTTCGCCGGAAATCCGACGTGGCATTTTTTTTATTAATTTCTGAAGCTGACGTGGCTCGCCGGAGATTGGCACTTAAGTGATCGTTTTTCAAAAATTTTAGCACTTAAATGATCGTTTTTAAAAAATTTTAGCACTTAAGTGATCGTTTTTCAAAAATTTTAGCACTGAAGTGATCCAAAAAAAACTTATGACACTTAAGTGATCGTTTTTCCTCCGACTTGGCACCAAAGTGATCCGAAAAAAAGTTATGGCACCAAAGTGATCTCCGTACACAAGTTATGGCACTTATAGTGTCCTTTTGCCCTTCTTTTTGTCTTAGAAAAAACCCCAAACTTTAAGTCTAGTTCCAAATCTGGCCCGAATTTTGTTTTGTGTAAAAAAATCACCAAATTTCAATCTATTTAAAAAAATCTACCCCTGTGATCTAGTTTCAACTTGACATGGCACTTCCACGTCGATAACAAATCCATATCAGCAAAGTAATTGGGCTTTTTTTTAGACAAAGAAAAGTTCGGGGCAAATTTGGACTAAACCTAAAGTTTGGGGTTTTTTAAGACCAAAAAAAGTTTTTTGGGGTGGATTTGTTATCGTCCCTAACTTTCACATCCTAGAACGATTTTATTTTGGAGAATTTCAACAATTTTTATTGGGTTAGATTTGTTATCTAGTGGAAATGCAACGTCGGTCCGTACCCATCGCCTCATTACTTTGCTGATATGGATTGTTATCGACGTGGAAATGACACGTCAAGTCGGGACTGGATCATGGGGTCAATTTGAAAATAGAATGAAATTTGGTGATTTTTTTTACACAAAACAAAATTGGGGCAAATTTGGGACTAAACTTAAAGTTTGGGGTTTTTTCTGAGAACAGAAAAAGTTTAGGACAGATTTGAGACTAGACCTAAAGTTTAATGTTTTTTCTAAGACAAAAAAATGTTTGGGGCAGATTTGGGACTTGACCTAAAATTGGGGGATTTTTAGGGAATTAGGCCTTGAAAAATAGGGTACTGGTGGACTTTGTGGCAACCCGCGAAAAAGAACCAAGTGAACCCAACTCGGACTTGAACATTTTCGGGTCGGGGTTTTTTTCCCTTTTTTTTTTTAAGTCAACTTGTTTCGATCCGGTTGACCCGACATATGAAGAATCTTTATTGTGTGCTTGAATCATCAATGGAATTTTGGAACAATCGGAATGTCATAATATTCGGTGTTGTTAGCTAATATATGTATAATATCCTAAAAAAGTATATAATTGATAATATTTTCTTATATGGGATAGATTAATCAAAATCATGATGCCATATATATTAAGATGTATTGTAAATTTGCTTGGCTAATTCATGTCATAATTTTTCTATTGGGTGCTTAAATGTGCGTACTAACTTAAATAAATATTGACAGATCTTCACATTTCTTCGTAATTTAATTTACAAGACAACTCTTTATATCTTTAACATTGCTCAATCTTGATATTTTTAACGTTCCTCAATTTCTTCGTAAGAAATTAAGGAACACGAAAAAGTAGTGAAAGTACATGAACGAAAAGTAAGGTCAGCGAACGAAAAGTAATAATTTGACGAGACATTAAATATGAGTATTTAAACATGAGATAGAGAGCCGTAGACTTATTAAATTAAAAGTGACGGGGGAAGGGGGGGATCAAATATTTACAAGAAGGTCAACCATTTTCGTTTCTAATTCACCATTTTCTTAGGAGTTTCTTCCTACGCGCCCCCTCGCATCGGTCGATGATGTTCCTCAGGCTTTGCGGGACCATAACTTGGAAATTCGCTTCACCAGCGCCTCCCAACATGCGAACATAATACTGCCGTTCCGTGCGAAACGCGTCCGCAACTTCTCTGATAGATGTCCAGCCGGCCCACAGTGAGGGACATGATCGGCTATTATAAGTAGCCTGAGCTTCCTCATCTTCTTGAACGAGTTTGCATGCAGAATCAAGTCTTCTACATCAACCTTGCCTAGTTTAATGGCTTCAATGGCATCTGTTCCCTGTTAGAGCGCAGTTAAAATGATTATGCATATTACAAGCACTTGAAACTAATAAGATATCTAGGCCGTTCCAAAAAAACAAGTCTAATTCTAACAATAACGTTTGAATTATGTTCGAAAATGTGCTGGCTTAAAAACTATTATGACACAAGCTGTTTCTAAATGAAGATATATCCATCTTATGATGAAAGGGAAAATGAGAGGACTTATACTAGGTTATATAACCGTCAACTTGACAATAGACACTGTCAGTTTAGAGAGAAAATTCACGAAGTACATGATAATTGTCTCAAACCCTAATTTCTTGCCTAAACCCTAATTGGCGAATATAAAAATTGCGTTTGCTTCTCTCCTGAGTATGCAATCTAAAGTTTTTTAAACCACATGTAAATGCGAAGTCCACAAAAAGATGATATGCTTACGTGTTCAAATTAATTTCTCTTTAGGACATGCTTAAACTTACTGAATTTTGCTTAACCACTTGTAGAGCATCCTCATGACGCCATATTCTGCTTCGCTTGCTGGGATTCTCAGAGCACTCTTGAGTTACAATTTGTCTACCCATTTCTTGAAGCAAATCATGCATCCATATTTTGTTATTTTCATCAATGTATACGAGTGACTTTTGAGTTAGAATTTCAATCCCACTATTGGCGAGGAGACCACATTGGTTTAAGGACTTGATGATCTCTTCTTTGTCATATTCATTAAGAAAACATGCGATGTCGAGAAAAATCGTCCTCTCGTTGGCCTCTAAGCCATCGATAACAATCCTCAGTACTTCATGAACCTTTCCATGAGGGATTTCTTTTAGTTGATCAAAAGCTCCTTGCCATTCCTTGACGCTTTTTCCATTTAAGAAAGAACCCATCACGATGAGTATGAAAGGAAGCCCTTTAGAAAAACTGGTGAAACAATTGGAGAGCATCTTATAATCACTTTTAGGATATCTTTCTCGGAATGCATTCCAACTGAAAAGCTCAAGAGCTTGATCATCATTCAACGCTCTTACCTTATAGATTTCCCAGCATAGACCGGTTAAGGTTTCGCCGTGTCGAGGGATCAAAATGACTCTACTTCCCAAGCCTAAGTTTATTGCATCTATCAGGTGGATGAGTGGCTCCGATAACCCTTCCACATCATCAAAGACCAATAAAACCCTCTTGTTGTGAAGCTTACTCCTCATCAAGTTCATTACTTCATGAATATCGTCACCAAGAATGTCACCGAAAAGCGTCTCCTGCATTTTGAGGAGGCCCTCTTGGCTCGATATATCCTTCATATTTGCGAGAAAGCAACTCCAATCAAATTGATCTGCAATTCGGTCGTACAAAGCTCTCACAAGTGTACTCCTTCCTATTCCCCAAATCCCGGAAATCCCCACGATTCGGACCTCCTCAACCTCTAATTGGAGTAAAGAGTACAAGGCTTGTACTTGAGAATCTAACCCAACTGGATGGAAAGCAAGCAGGTCTAAGTGTGAGCAGCTCAGTCTTCTTGATATTTTCTCCACAACGGATTGGATGAATTCAGCTTCAAGTCTGCAAATTGTCAACAACTAAAGGTGTGACTTTGGTTATTCGTGCTCGTAAAAAATGAAGAAAATATCAATAAGGTTATATTCTCCGAATCGTCCATCCGATCTAATTGGTAATTACTATCCAATATCCAATCCGGTATAATGGAAAATAGTGGCATGTGAGAGGTTGACATGTGCTCTCCTAATCGTGGCACATCTCCCTCTCCTTCATGTTTTGATTTCCTTCTTTTCTTTCTTCTTATTTTTGGGAAAAAAAAACCCCTTTCTAATACTTTTCAGTTGATTGGAAATGATACAGATCTCTAGTTTGCATATGTCACGCCTTTTTTGAAAATATTGACTATACTATTCTCGAAAAAATCATGTTAATTATGAGAATAAAATATTCAAACATGCCTCCCTCCACTTTTAACATAAAAGTATGTTGATCAGACATCCCAATTTTACATGTGTCGATCTATGCCATTTGAACTATCTCAACAAAATATCCATGAAGATTAATAACTTATAATCATGACCCACGTCGTTGATGAAAAGTTTTCGTTCAATTTTATGTTAACGTCAATTAAAATTTGACTTAAGTGTCAAGATTATATCTGTTGGATTATTTTAAATATTGAAGATCATTCTATAACTATTTGAAAGTTAGGCAAATACATTTTTTTCCACTAATTGTAACTCTTCATGAGGAAACACTCCAATAACTACTTCATAAATCTAAATAAGTCAATATATGAAACACTAAACGATAACTGCTTTTCTTGAGATTTAGTATAGCCACTATGGAAAAGAATATGCAATGGCTGGACATCCGAGAGCCATACACCAATGCGAATTTCATCTTTATGTTTAACTAAATATCTAAATAAGTCAATATATAAAAGTTGACCGATGTAACAATCAAGTATAATTCGAGAGTTATTTCCATTAATCTGTATCATGAGCCATTTCTCCGTGCATATGATGGATCTGTTAGGCTAGTACTCTAGTATTACAATCATCAGATTGATCTGAAAATGGGAGCACCCGAATTTCATCTTGTTGTTCGTTTTGAACAAGGAGTGATGGAGGAAGCACTAGACAAGATTAACCCTTCATCTGCAATTGACTCAATCATGAACAGTTTCATGAAATGTCTTTTAGTTTCTATTCATTATGTCTGAATTAGTTTTGGAATAGGAGTGAAATTTTTGAAAAATAAAATTTCACAGCGCATAATCATATGGATATACAAGGGAAATTTTTCACGTTTTATCCTTAAAAAAAACTATGCTAAATTTGAGGTCAACATTCCAAAGTTAGCAATTTTTGGTTATGCATGCACGTACAAAATGTTATAGATATGTCACAAACAAGAGAAAATCTTTTGGCTAATCGTTTAAGCAACGGATTAAAAGAAGAGGGATTGAAATAAGTCGATAAAAAGCATTCTCTATGCTCATCGAAAAAGATGTTCTACTATAGAAAGCTTCTTGGCCAAAAAAGGAAATTATATAGAAAGTTGAGAGAGAGAGAGAGAGAGAGAGACCAGGCAATAAAAAAAGAAATAGAAGAGAAACAAAGTGGAGGCTGAACTTTCTTTCAAACCCTAGCTATGTACCACAGTCCAAACAATACAAAGACTGACAAGAAGTTCTTTTTCTTTTCGTTTTTGTATTTGACAGATATATCATTCCATAGGGGAGAGTTTTGGTGGTGAAGGGAAGGGTTGCATCACTGCTAGGGTTTACCCTGTATTGGCCGTGAAAGATGTCTGGACTAGCCCATCTTCGTTCTCTTTAATATTAACGAAAAGAAAGCATGGGACTTCTGATAACCTCCTATAGAAAAAGAAGCTCATATGCTTTAGAATTCACCCATTCAATAATGGGACTCAGAGCAAGTAAGGGAAATGATGCAAGAAGGAAATTGGCAACGGCGAAAATCATTGATCACTAGAGATTTCTTTATGCTTGAGGGAAGAAGCGAGGGGAATAAACTTGTTTGTTTAGTTATGAAATATAAAATGCGAAATGAGGGTTAAAACTGGAAAAAAGGGACATCCATCATTTCTTTTTCTTCTCCTTTAATGTTCAACAGAAGGTTATCTATCGTTTTATTTAGCTGAACACTTCTAATTTGCTATGTATGGAGGAAAGCAGCATCTGCTAAAACATGTCGAGGGTAATATCTGATAAACGGTAAAAGAAAAGGTTTCTTTCTAGAAGATAACAGACGGTGTCAACGAGTGCAACTTGAACAATCATAATAACACAAAACACCGTTTCTTTTTTCCCGCCAGCTGTTTTTTCGAAAATGTATCCGAAAAGATACTGCAATGTCGATGTTAAGGCTATTTGATGAGCCAAACAATGGAGTCGGAGTCCTCTTCTAGGAAAGTTCAATTCCCAGTAAAAGGGTTCCAAACATTTCCAATTATTCGTACTTCCCATAGACCAAATGATTGGGCTTTAAGAGCAAGTTTTGTTGTTTCCTGGACAAAATAAGCAACTTCCTTCAGGAATCCTCTCAAGCAAGCACTAAAAAAGAGAGAGAGAGAGACTAATTACCTGTTTCTGAGAGACCAACCGGTGAGATTGCCGGCTTTTCGGAGAGCGTTTCTCCACCTCTGGACCTTGTCGGCATTCTCTTGCCTGAAACACTTCTCACTTTGGCCAATCCGCTTGAATGGTCCAGATTGCTCGCGCATCTCTCGGGGGTCGACATCCACAAAAATGAGGAACACCAGCTGGCCTATAGTTTCCTTGCACTCTAGGATCTTATCCAGCTCCTCCAGGCACCACGGCGAGGAGGCGTAGGTCTGAGAGATGACGACGATGGCGCTCCTCGACTGCTTGATCGCTTTGTTGATTGCTGGTGCAATCTCTAGTCCTCTTTCCAGATTGAGGTCGACAAAGGCCCTTATCTTGTTCCGCTTGAGGGCATCGTGGAGATGGCTCACAAAGTTGCGCGTGTCAGCCTGTTTATAACTGATGAATGTATCGTGAGCGCACCGAGGGATGGAGGAGGGGGGCAAGAAGAGCTGTGGTCTGGCTGTGAGGCTATGTTTGAGACAAGAGAAGTGGAGTGGAAAGAAAGAGGGCAAAGAGATGGGAGGGGATTGCAGTTGGAATTGTGATGCTCTCTTGTTTGGCCAAGTTGGATTGCAGTTGGAATTGTGACACAATGGAGGAGGAAGAAAGGGAGGGAAAAAGTTGCTGTTGAGTTGGCCAAGTTGGATCATCATCTTACTAGAATATGCCATTCAAACACCCCCAAGAATCAAAGTAAAGCGAGAGCTGTACCGAGTTCTTTCACATTGCAAGCTCCCTTGACCTATTTATAATGGATATTAAAACTCTGAGCGCCCACGCACGCACGCACGCACGCACGCTGGTGTCATATCGTTTCTTTTTGTCCATTTGCCCACCTGTCCGGTTTATCGGACCCCTCACTTTTATGTGTAATAGTGAAGTAGACTATGTACAAGCAAGCGTGAGATAGAGAGATTTTTTTCTTCGTCTTTTTCCAAGAAAAATTTACTAGAAGAATATTTTAGAATTTCCAAACAGCCATAAACATCATAAATTTATCCCACTTTTTTGACAATGTGCTCACCGGCCACTTTTTCGGAGCGCCACCCTTCGCTTTTTGCCCAGGCCCGGGGGCACATTTGTTCCAAGGTGACACAGCCTTCACTCCCCTTACAAATTGTAATATAAACGTCTATCATGATGGTTATGACTTTGATCTTGGGCTTTTTGTGGGTGGTTTACACAAACACGGAGGGAGTGATTTGAAACCACTGTCACTATTAAATAAGACGTTCTATACTTCCATATTCTGTCACTTCCCCTCACGCGTAAATAATATTGTTTGCCTAAAACTATAGTGTGGAAATATGTAATGGAGACTGGAGAGGCAAATAGAGGCATGTAAAGATTTGAACTCGGTACCTCGCTTGATGAGATTTTCAAAAAGTTTAAGCTGTTAGATTAAGGCGTGATTTAATATTAAAATCTTTTAGGTTAAATTTTTAGAAGTTCCACAAAATCTCACTTGCAGGTTTGGGAGACCACATGTATATAATAAGCATATGAATCCCTTGTCAAGTGGTGCGAGATATTTCAACACCCATCTCACATGCAAGGCGGACTAAGAATGGCACGTGAAATTTGACTAACGGGGTGGACGTACACGCGAGAGGGGCAAAAAAAACCAGGCTCTGATTCCATGATAAAAATAATGGGAAAGGGAGAATTGTGTGATTTTTGTATATACAATAATGAGGAATACATGAGCCTATTTATAGGTTTTACAAAATAAAGATCTAAAGTAATAGAATATTACAATAGCAATTACAATTTAGGATTAATCAAGGATATGGACGAGCAAAGTAAGCTAATGAACAATCTTTAAGAGATATTATCAAGGGAGATATATAGAATTTCTAGATATATCTTTAACATGCTCCAAGCTGTGACATCCATCATTTCCCCTAAAAGTTGTAATATAAGCGTCTATTATGATGGTTATGTTGGGTTCATCAACGAAAAACAACGCAGCGGAATATAGAACCCTAAACAGGATCCATGTGTATATTGAAATTGAAAAGGAATTTTGAAACGTACCTTTTGCAGATCGAAGATAAATCGGCAACCGATTGTGTCTAGATTAGCACCCCAAGTGTTGCGCTTCTACCGGTATCCACACACACGAACGGATTTCTCCAACGATCCACGTGCTAGCGAAAGATCTTGAAGTTCATTTTTCTTGAACGCCTTTTGATTTTCGATACTTTGTCGAAAAACCCTAGATAGAGAACAATTCTCTATCTATTTATACAGCCTCATTATCTAGCGGAATTAAGAGAAGTGGGCCAAGCGATTTGGGCCCGCCAAACCGTCCACCTTCAATCGTACATTTAATCGTTATCTCATAACGCGCACGACCGCGTAGATAATTTAAATAAGAGAATAAATTAAAATCTACTTCTTAAGTATATCAAGGCGCACAGAAAATATTAAGTACGTTCGCTATTGTGTGCGACCCTGTAGGTTCACTAAACATTAGCAGTGTGCTCAAAACTCTTTTTGGCCCACAAGTCATAAGCGGTCTCTAGCAAGACATTATGACTACCTAAGTATAGTGAAGGTCGATTTTTCGACACAACCTAATCCACAACTAATATTAGAGTATCAACCTTGATTGATTCCTAGGGCAGACCACTAACAATCTCCCACTTGCACTAGAACCAATCATATAAACTAAGTCCCTTTGTTACTTGATTTCCGAGTTAAGCATAAGGCAGGACAAGTGTCATCCTTATATAGCTTAAACTCATTTTCCCGATACCGCAGTTAGACTGTCAAAACAAGTAGTTGACTCTTCAACTCACTTGAGCATGGCCATGCATTTCACAGTCTCAACTCTACGGGAGGCTAGCAAATCATACCCTCGTTATATGAGAGGGACAAATCCCATCTTGTCTACTCACATCACTCAGCACGATTCATGACATGCTCAGCCATTACCTTTATAATCACCTTTTACGGCTGATGTTTGACAATGTTAAATCATGCCAATCCACGTCTAGGAAACCATGGCAGACTCAGGTCAAAGGACTATACTCTATAGTTGTGATGAGAAATACTGATGACATTATATAACAATCCTACAGTATTCTCATAGTGGGTCTGTCCAATACAATGTTCTCCAACATGTATTCCATGTGATCAACTTTATATCTCTATATTCATAACCCGTGAAACTTGATCATCAGTTGACTCACATGCTAGTCTCAAACACCATTTACTTCCCAATGCACAATGGCAATTGACTAGGGACATTTAGAATATTAATATCCATTCTATTAATAGAGTTTCACGATCAAATCACGTATTTGATTATCTATTAAGGATATTCAATATTCAGGGGATAAAGATTTCGCATTCAACTATATACTCAAATTAAATAGAAATCAAATATAATATATATTTTATTAATGAACAATGAAAATGTATATCGCATATACTCCCACTCACATCAACACCAATCACTAATGTGTCTAAGGCCTAAAGCGTTACAATGACGCTCATGCTTAGGTTGTGGAAGAGCCTTCGTCAACGGATCAGCTGTATTTAACTCCGTTGCAACTTTGCACATCTTGACATCACCTCTTTCAATGAATTCTCGAATGAGATGATATTTCCTGAGTATGTGTTTGGTCTTCTGATGAGACCTAGGTTCTTTACCCAAAGCTATGGCCCATTACTGTCACAATAGAGGTCCACTGGAATCGAACTAGTGGGACTGATTCCCAGTTCTTCTATGAACTTTCGAATCCAAACAGCTTCCTTTGATGCTTCTGAAGCAGCAATATACTCAGCTTCTGTCGTAGAATCTGCAAGAGTGTCCTGCTTGGAACTCTTCCAGCACACCGCTCCACCGTTCACGCAAAAGACAAAACCTGACTGCGATCGAAGATCGTCTTTGTCGGTTTGGAAACTAACATCAGTGTAACCACTTACAGTGATCTGTTCCTCATCTCCATAGACTAAGAATAAATCCTTAGTTCTTCTCAAGTACTTAAGGATATTTTTTACAGCAATCCAGTGAGGTTCCCCTGGATCTGACCGGTATCTACTTGTCATACTCAATGCATAAGCAACATCGAGATGAGTGCACAACATAGCATACATGATGGATCCCACAGCTGATGCATAAGGAATCCTACTCATGCGGTCTCGCTTATCTTGTGTTGAAGGACACTGAGTCTTGCTAAGACTTATGCCATGTGTCATCGGGAGAAAACCTTTCTTGGAGTCTTGCATATTAAACCTATTGATGACTTTGTCAACATATGTACTTTGACTCAGTCCAATAAGTCTCTTAGATTTATCTCTATAGATCCTGATCCCCAAGATATAGTTTGCTTCTCCCATGTCCTTCATGGAGAAAAATTTTCCTAGCGATGTCTTAATTGACTGAAGCATAGGAATGTCGTTTCCAATGAGTAGTATGTCATCCACATACAACACTAGAAACACAATTGCACTCCCACTAGACTTCTTGTATACACAAGCTTCTTCTTTGTTTCTGACGAAGCCAAACTCTTTGACAGTTTCATCGAAATGAATATTCCAGCTCCGTGATGCCTGCTTCAATCCATAAATAGAACGTTGAAGCTTGCATATCTTCCCAGTGTTATCTGGTGATGTAAAGCCTTCAAGTTGTGTCATATACACATCCTCCTCTAGTTTTCCGTTAAGGAAAGCTGTCTTTACATCTATTTGCCATATCTCATAGTCATAATATGCAGCAAGCGCTAGGATAATCCGAATGGACTTAAGCATGGCCACTGGCGAAAAGGTCTTGTCATAGTCAATACCATGAGTTTGTTTGAAACCTTTAGCTACTAGCCGTGCCTTATAGATGTGAACATTTCCATCCATATCAGTTTTCTTCTTGGAAACCCACTTGCACCTTATAGGTTTGACACCTTCGGGTGGATCAATCAAAGTCCAAACTTTGTTTTGATACATTGAGTCCATTTCGGATTTCTTGGCCTGAAGCCATTTATCGGAGTCTGGGCCCATCATAGCTTCTGTATAGGTCGTGGATTCGTCATTTTCTATTAACAATAGATGACGGTGTTCTGTCACGTGAAAACCATATCTCATAGGCTCACGATGTGTTCTTTCAAACCTACAAACTATAGGTGCCACTGGAGTAGACTCTACAACTCTTTGTAGATCTAATTGAGGTTCCTCATGAACTGGAACACCCTCTTATGGCACAATAACTTCTTTGAGGTTTACCTTACTCCCACTGGTTCCTTTAGTAAGAAACTCTTTCTCTAAAAAGACACCATTTCGAGCAACAAACACTTTGTTCTCTGATGGATTGTAAAAGTAATATCCTTTCGTTTCTTTAGGATATCCCACAAAGAAGCATTTATCAGATTTGGGTCCAAGCTTATCAGAAAGTAAACGTTTTACATAGGCTTCACAACCCCAAATCTTTAGAAAAGACATACTAGGAACTTTTCCTGT